GGCAGGGGCTGCTCCCTCTCAGCCTCTGATCCCACGATAATAACAATAGCGCATTATTATTACTTCAGGGGAAAAATTATAGTCCAACACCAAGCAGTGTTACACATAGTTCAAATGACCAGAGGAAGTGCACACTTTATTTCATTTTGACTTAATATCTTCTTTTTATCTCCCTCGTTAACCTTCAAAGGGCTGAAGGAATTTGGAACAAAGACAGCACATTAGTGAAGGCCATTTGCAGGAGCTTTGCCCATAACTCACGTGGGCACACGTGTCGGTTTGACTTAAAGAAATGCACCCGCTGGGGACAGCCAGCCTCAGGCAGGTCAGTATCAAAAACCCAAGTCGTGGAATTTGGGTGCAAAGGAATTTGGGGTGCAAAGGAGGTAGAGTCTTATTTTAATTCCACGCGATATTCTCCATGTCCTGCTGAGGGCGGCTGCCCTTCTGAAGCGGTGTTGCGAACCACCACACCGCACAGTGGACGGGCCGGCCCGGAAGACATGTGACCCTCCGACAGCTCATGCGGCTCCACGCTAATTAAATTTGCGATGAAAGAACAGTGTTCTGCTGTAGCTGCATAATTCATGTGAAAAAGCGTTAGGACGAGTAACTGTTTTAAATGCATTCGTTATGTGCAACCATGTGAAAGCAAACAGGCCCCTAGCTTGTAAGGATGACAGGAGAACGCCCTTGGGTAGCCCTCTGGATAGCAGTTTACGTGATTTAAATAAAACTCACCGACTCTTTGTTGGAACAGCAAGCAAGCTGTTCTCCGAGGTGCAAACGGGCAGGAATACAGGTGGTGGCTTCATGGGGAGGCGAGCCTGGCACCAAGGGGCGGGGCCCTGCCCCTCGGGGGCAGCAGCCACGTGCAGGCCTCTCTGGCTTCCCCGACGAGGTGAAGGCACAGGTTGGCTGCAGGAACTTACCTGTCACATCCAAACGCTGTTTGTCCCTGTCACTCGCCCCGTCAGGATTCAGTAGAGCCAAGAGCAAGCCTCTACAGCTGCCAGGGAAGAGCGCTCCCTCTGCAGACCGGGGGTCGGCTCAATGGGCAGATGTGCCAGCTCAGACAGGAAATACTTGTAACGCAGCCTGCCGCTGGGGAAAAAGGTCCCTAAGAGATGAGAAAATGGGCTACTGATGCTACTCATTGTAAAAGCCAAACTTTTGTGCAAGCCCTGCAAGACCTGGTCCCGTCTCCTCCCAGCCTCCTCATAACC